CCCCAAAACCCCAAAACCCCAAAACCCCAAAACCCCGTAAAAATCAATATTTATTGATTTAAAGATTTTTTGAAATAATTTGTCTTTACTGGACGCTTGAATAGGTGTATAAAGTCCCTGGATATGAAATACTTTATCAATGCTCTTACATTTCCATTTTTGATCCTAAAAACAAAGTAAACTATGCAGGGAAATGTCAAAAAGAAGGAATCTGAGAAAACACAAAATTTTATTACCTGGCAGTTTATTCTGGATAATCTTATGAAATCAAAGGTAAAACTCCCAAGGATGAAGAAATCTCAGGCAAAAATGGAGTCACTAAAGTAGGAGAAACTTCATAATTTTGCTAAACAAGATAGGACACCAAAAACTGAGTCTACAAACGAACACGTATATTTTGGTATTACTCATGAGGCTGGTCCTAACTCTTCTACTTATAAGCATAATCTGTGCTTTACTCTGGTACTTCCTGAACTCCACTCTCAACCTCCTTCTCTTAATCAAAATGGAATTCTGGAGGAAAAAGAGAGCCTGTATTAAAGCAGGAAACCCTAGAGGCAACAGCAATGGTAAAACAATGAAGAAGAAATAATGTAGCAAGAAAAGGAAAGGTCTCAAAAGATCAAAGACAAGAACAAGGCTAAAGAAAACTCTAATTCTAAAATTGACAAGAAGGAGCTCCAAGTCCTTTCATGCCCAAAAAGTGGCTCATCATTGGTAAGCTGACTCAAATATTTTACCGATTTTAGTCGAATTACGATAGAGGAGGGACTGTAGAGTAGCCATGAGCTTGGCACAACCTTCTTGACCAGTTCCATGACGTATCTTTGAGTATTTGAGAAATAACTCAAGCGAAGATATTGCATGCCTAGCATTTCAAACTGGTAATGATTTCATTTGACGCTTTTGGCTTTCAAGATATTATAATTGATAAATACCAAAGGCCTTTATATATTACTGATGAGTAGTCCTGATTGTAAGCCATTTTGGAGAGTCAAAAAATGTCAGCTCTCCATTTGTGAATAACAGAGATCTTCTGTGCCTATTGCAATAATAGTAATTTCGATAAATCGTTATTTTGATTGAAATGGTTCAGCAGAAAGCATTTGAAAATGCAGTTTTAATATGTAGTTTTAAACATTACTGACAGAATTTATAAAATTCAGATTTATTCAAGATCCCTTAACAGTAAAACCTTCATAAATGAGATTTATGATAATTTTTTGGTATTAGCCAGTCAAGAGCAACTTTAATCCAAAGATATTTCAGAAACTGTACACCAGATTGGAAACCAAGATAGTGTCCAGAGCTTTAAGGAGAGATTTAGCAACAATTTTGACCCACAAGGTGAGAAATTTAAATTTCTCAAAGTTCTATTTTAGATAACAACTCAAGAGCTTGGATTTAACCAAAATATAGATCCTGATTTCGTTATTTATTCTAAATATTTTATTAATGCCTTAAATATATTATATAAAAATAAGTTCTGAGAATCGTTGGATAGAGGAAGCAGTAAATGGTACTGTATTGAAAGCATAACTTGTCGAGTCCTACGCTAGAAGAAGTACAGCCAAATCAAGATATGATATTCCTTTATGCAGAGGAGACGTTCAAGGCAAGATTAAGTTCTTTGCTGGGCCTGGGATGAAAGCTCATATACAATGGATCATTCAAGGTTCTGCTCCTGGAAGGTATTGAGAAATAAAACTTTTAAACTGTCATCCAGATGATAAGTTCTCCTAAAATTTCTTGAAAGTTGAAGGAGATGACTTCAACTCCTGCACAGGTGCTTTCTATTGTGGAGATCAGAAAAAGAACATCTAAGAGACAGCAGTTGTGTTCTCAACCAATGTTTCATGTGAACAATGCACCCTTCAATGGGTTTACATCGCTCTTGGATATGGATTCATGTACTAATAATCAGACATCTCTTTCTGCGAAAGAAAAGAAAGATAAATGTGCAGCAGATTTCAGAAATGATGATATCTTCAAGAAGGCCTCAGCTATTGAGCAGCAGGCTGTTTCGGAGGATCCTGCGAGACCAAGGTTAATCGAACCAATTCTATGAGCCAGTTGCTCCTACAGCTTTCATGCAAGAGGAACACTCTGAGGAGGTATAAACCCCTAAACCAAAGGTAGTTGAGGTTGGGGGTTTTCTCATGGTACATTTTTATTCCTGGAACTCCTCGCTAGAATTACGCTGCTTTAGCATTCTTCCTCTGTAAAGACAAACTAAAAGACATAGTCGGCAGCAAAGGTATGGAGAGATGATAGAAAAGACAAACAAGAACCCAAGATTCGTGTCACTGAGCTGCCAGAGAGGCACCTTTTAGACTTATAAACAATTTTGTTGGAAAAGTTTCAAGAAGGATTCATCACACTTTAAGTAGGTTGCCACCAAATTTGGTTTGAGTAGGGTTCATAAAAACGCAAGGCGAACAGGCAAACAAAAAAAAATAAAAGGATAACAAGATAGGGAAGACCTACAGTATGTGTGAGGGTTAACTTGTGCTTTTAATATATTTATACTATGATTTTGTTTAGTTTACTCCTTATTGAAAAATTCTAGAATAATTCAAAAGACAAGAATAAATCTAAGAACAAGAGCAAGTCTAAAGATAAGAATAAGTCCAAGGATACAGACAAATCTAAAGAGAAATAAATGAGGACTATAGGAGATAAGAACAAGAATAAGAAAGGTAAGTGTAAAAGCAAGAAAATGTCCAAATCCAAAGATCAGAAAAATACTTTATAAGGGTTAAGAATACATTCTTCTCTGCCACCTCATCCAGCCGGGCTGCTGTTCACGTCAAACTCACACTGGCTTAAGAAGTCATTAACACTATGGTCTAATTCCGATCCTGAACAAGCCAGAAAGGCTAGGGCTCATGAAAGATTAATTGCCAATACATTGTACAGGATAATAAAGCAAGCAAGAGCCAGTTAAAGTCTAAATAGTACCCAAACCCTCCCCTAAAACACCGCCAAGCTCCATTTGTTGTAAATTTCTTCCCTTCTGCTCAGCCAGGTTGAGCTCTGCTGATCCTCCTAAATGCACTGAAACCCATTCAGAAAGCAGCACCTAGTCTCTAGTCTAGTTGTCAGTATCTATAAGGCAGCCAAAAAGAATTGGGTTAAGCTTAATAGGAAGTGCTACCAAGGAGAAGAACTAGAAAATATAAATAATTCTTAAAGTCATCCAAGCTGCAAGGGGAAATAATCTAGCAAAAACGATTCAGTCTAGAAAGCATGAGCAATGAGTAGAGGGAAGGTGCAGAATGATACTAGGTTTATATGAAAATTTGAGGGATTAACCTATACTGTTAAGCAGATAATTCCCTCTATACATAGCTATTATCAACACTTTGATAACCTCTAGGGGTTTTGGGGTTTTGGGGTTTTGGGG